TTATTTCAGAAGAGTGGGTCGAGCAAGCCAAGGCGGAATTTCTGTTGGGGGATGATTACCCAAATAGTTGAACACTTTGGTTATGGTCCAGTTTTGCATAGTGAGACCCCTGTAGTAGGTAAGGATAAAATTGACATGAGTTCTCTAATTCAACAGGACATGATTACTATTTCTCGTGATTACTATTATGTAGTGAGTCATAACAGGTTTATTATTGCACTTCCCAGTCCTGACAGAATATGTATATCTGATTGTGCTAACTGGTTTTATGAGAGTGTCGTCCATGATGAAGAGGACGAGTACGATGCTGAAAATGTTTTTGTAGGTGACGATAATGATGAAGATGCTCATGATCAGGAGCCGTTTTTTCCTCCTCCCCAGATGTCAACCCCACCAGGTGTCGAGTAATCATCCATGACTCAATACCAATGGACATACGTACAAACTGAATTAGGTAACCTCCGTACGGAGCAATCAAGACAAGGAGTGGAGCAAGCTCGCCAAGGGGCTGTGTTAGATGAGATGCACACTAGGATTCAACAATTGATGTTGCACTTCCCGCCTCCTCATTAGGGCACTGTAAGTGTCACTCTCTATCTTGTCCATAAACATTGAGGTAAATGTTTGATTTTAGTGTGAGGAGTTTTATATTTGTTTTTAATTATTGTTGATTTGTTGTTTCAGATAGTTCTTTCCCTTACCGATTTCTTTTACTTTGATGTTTGTGTGTTACTTGTTTTATGTATTACAGATTTTTGGTGTTTTTGTCTGGATAAGTGATGAGGTTCGTATCAGTGGATGAAAAGATGCAAACCTTACTTGCTTACTAGGAAACCCCCTAAAAGTTGATATTGCTTAAGAAGAGGATCGAACACGATTTTCTGAAACTTGACTGACATTTGTCGCTGTGCACCCTAAGCCAAGTGGGAAGTTGCATCACACTAGATGTACTTTGGAATTTGTTAGATATGCCTAACATGGTGAGACATAAAAATCCAAACACATATTCATCATGAGAGATTATTCAGGTATGTCTCTATCACTCCGAGTTTGCGTATTTTCTGTTGGAATATCACTGCACAACTATACACACTGAGGCACTTTTTTTTTCTTTTAACCTTGAGCCTTTCTAGTCATCCTTGTAATATCATCCATTGTTAACCCCATTCGAGCCATATATCATTTTGTTTTTTTATCACCGCATCCATAAACCATAGGCCTAAACACTTTCCTATCCTACTTAGATAGGTGTTGTTAGTTCGGAGTCTGTGACAAGTTCTAAGTTTGGAGTTTGGACACCTAAAATAACTAGGTAAGTGAAATTAAGGGGGAAAAAAGAGGGAAAAAGAAAAAAAAAAACATTTTTGATTGAAAAAAAAAAAGAGAAGGAAAAATGATGCACTTACCTAAAGTAGAGACTCAGTTGAAAAATCAAAGATACACACTTAAAGTAAATACTTGAGTATGAACTAAAGAGTCCAGATTAAAAAGGTGTCTGAAAATACCCCTATGATGAATAGTCCAAGTGACACAGTGACAAGAATGACAACACTGATTTTGAGCCCAAAACCATTTGTTTTCCTGTTTCTTTTGTTTATCCACCATAACTTAAGCCCCGATACAACCCTAAAAGACCTCAAATAGTGTGTGTGAAATGAAAATGGAATGTATTCAAGCTCATGAGTTGATATTGCATACTTTGACATTTGAGTGAAAAACACTTTAACCTAGAGAGATTTGGCAAGAGTGTGAAAAAGTTGACAGGTAAAGTAGTGTTTTGATGTGGAAGTGTGGCAGAACATTCAATTAGGAAAAGTAGGAGAATTTGGAAGGAGAGTGAAAGTGAGTTGCGAAACATATCAGTAGTATTGTGGTAAGTTGATTGTGTATGTACTTTGGGGGGTGACCTATCTGCTGTCCCGAACATTGCTTGAGGGCAAGCAATGAGCTAAGTTTGGTGTTTTGATTGGTCACCATTTTTATTATGTTTCCATCACTTGTTCGACATTAATCCATGTAATTGGTAACACTTTGTTTTGTATTTTTATTGCTTTTTGAGTTAATTTCTATTTTCGCAAGTAACTTTCGCATTTTAGTAGTTTAAGTTTTATTTCAATTATTTTGAATTTTATGCTTTGGTTTGTTGGTTTTGATTATTTTCAGGTCTAGGCAAAAGACCCAAAGGACTAGGTGCAAAGAAAATGGAAAATTCGGAGTTTCGAGAACTATATTAGCAAGTGGCAGAGGACCTGACACGACCATCTATGTCACCTGACATGGGTCGTGTCAGGATGTGAACAAAAGAATGAAAAGGATGAAGAAACCGTGGGCTGACACAGGTCATGTCAACAGTTCTAGAAAAGAAAAGTTGAAGTGAAGGGATACAGAGAGCCAACACAGCCACCCGTGTCAGCTGGCATGGGCCGTGTTGGCTTGGATGCTAATATTTCCCATTTTTTCTGATTTCAACTGAATATTGACCTGGAGGGTATTTTAGCATTTCCACCTACTATTATTTGATTTTTCGCTATTTAGAAGAGTTTTTGGAAAGAGAAGGGGAACTTTATGGCGGAGAATAAATTTTATGATTGAAGATTAGAGAGAACAAGGTTTTCGGAGAGCGGAGGATTTTCATGAGGGGAAGCAATTGACGATCCAAATTAATCTGAGTTCTTGTAATGTCTACTTTTTATGTTGTATTTTCTTTAAACAGTATGTGTAGCTAAATCCTCCAATGCTAGGGGGTGTCCCTGATTTGACTCTATAATGACTTTGATTTCCTAATTTCAGTAATACAGTTGTTTCTTGATAATCAATTTAATTGCTCAATGTTTCTAATGATTTCTCTGTCGGACCAATATGGATTAATTTACGATTAGCAATTAGGTTTGACCGCCATTGTTAATGCTTTTGTGCGATTAAGCTACAATATATATCACATATGACTAGGGATACCCTGTAGCAATTGGAATATTGTTGACATTATAATGCTTGATTTCAATCATGATTATCTATGGACATAGTAATTAGTTTGAGTAATCATAGGTTTTCTTACTAAGGATTTAGGAGTAAACAAACTAAAATACCAGTAATTGATTATTTCGAACTTTTATTGAAATAAAGGATTATGTGTTGTTACACAACAAATCATACACCTTACCCTTGCATGCTTCTCATATCTGTCAAAACTTACTTTATTATTCGGTTATATTTTCTTACTGTTAAATTATAATTTTCCAAATACAAATTCCAAACCCCTAAAGTATTTTTGTTTAATTGAATTAAAAATTAGAATTCGATATTCAGTCGCAGTCCTTGAGATCGACATTCGGGGAATTTTCCCTTATTATTACTACATCGGCGAAAATAGTAAACTTGCTATTTTTCCGATCATACCACCAATAGAGAGGTGCTTTCCTTTCGAAGATGAGAGTTTACACTTCAAAAAATGAATAACTTCAGACCAGGAAGACACCCTTCTAGGGTTCGAACCAACCGATATACCGAGGAACTTGAACGGAATTTTGGCTGCACCACAACTTAAAAAATCTGCAGCATCTTCAAGAAACGATTATGAAATATTTACACCATAAAGATTGCTTTTAGAAAAATTTACTTTCAAACCTGATACCAATTTGAATTCCTGCAAGATGGCTTTTAAAGTCCAAAGATTCTCCCAGGAACCTTCTCCAGTTAGGATTGTGTCGTTCGTGAATTGAAGTATGTTGTAGATATAATCGTTACCATACTTCAAACCCTTAAGCAATCCCAAACTAGAAGCCTTCGACACAAGACCGAATAGACCTTCACCAAAAATAGCGAAAAGAAACAGAGAAAGAGGGTCGCCTTGACGAAGATCCTTTGAGCCGACAAAATCTGTTGTTGGACTCCCATTCACCAATACTGAGAAAAAAGTGTTAAAGGTGCATTCTTCCATCCAGAAATTACATCTTGCTCCGAAGTCAAGTTTACGAAACATGTAACGTAAAAAGTTCCAAGAAACACAATCGAAAGTTTTTTCGAAATCAACCTTCACAAAAAGACCTTCTTTCTTGAATCTTTTTTAGTAATCTATTAGCTCATTTACAACAACAATCCCGTCGAAAATGTGACGTTCTGGAATAAAACCTGTTTGAGTGCTAGATATGACTTTGCCTGTGACTTTCTTTAGACGATTGGCGAGTTGAAACCTTTTGAATTGTTAAGAACTTTGACCTTCACATTAGTCATGACATTGTTTCTAGAACGTCTGTCAAGTCTTCTCAATATTTTGCCAAACCTTTTTGCAATTAAAGAAATAGAATAAGACAAGTTTTCATCAATATCTTCAACTTTTTACTCTTTGTCTTCTTCCACATCAACTTTGAAAGCAACTTCCTTGCTTTTCTTTTCAGTTTTGTCATTAATGGCTATTTTAAAAGTTAGCAATAAGCCAATAAATTCATCACTTTGATCCAATTGATGTGTTGAGCTTCTTCTATGATAGTAACTTTTATGTCAAATAGGTAACACATACTCCAATAAACTGAGAGAGAAATATGGGGTCTCAAGGAGGGGATGGAGTCTTAGAAAATAGAAAATATTTGATGCTTTAAAAGATAGAGCCAAGTTTTGTATAATTTGGTTGGCCAACACTAATTATTTGATTGGAGGGTAGAGTGATGATAAATGGAAAGCAATAACACATGCTCATTATACGCATGCATGCTGCATCATGTTGAGTATAGTTTTATTTTGTTGACCAAATGTTGATCAATATGTTTCTATAAGGTATGAAACACACAAGTGCAGTGTATATATGCCACAAATATAATCTTAGTCCAAGATCTCTAAGCAGATTTATATATATTTTAAGCACTTAAACCACAATTATTCCTCTAACATTTTGTGATCTTTTTTATTTCATTTGGTACAACTAACATTCCTTCATTCATTAGAAATTACAATCACAAACATGGAAAAACCATGCTCCAATTAAGCAAGTTAACATCTTAATACTACTAGCTAAGCAATTGTTTAGAAGTGGACCCCACCATTTGAAAAGGTTGACAACCCTTCATCATCAAAGCAGAAGAATAATTCATCACATTGAAATTGTTCATAACACCACCAGCACCACCAATGTGTGATGATCTATTACTAGCCCCAGCTTGTTCCAAACTCTGAACCTGTTTCTTCAAAAACTTCACATAATGTATAGCTTCATCTAGCATAGAAGCAGTGTCCATTTTAGTTCCACCAGGTACTAATCTCTGCAATATCCTTATCCTTTCGCTTATCCTTTCCCTTCTATGCCTCGCCGCTACGCTCTGCGGATCCTTCGATATCTTCACGTTCCTTCTCTTCGGCGGCCTAATCGACTCCGGATCGATATGCACCGGTTGCATCACTGCTATTCTAAATATCATTTCCCTCATGGCCGCCATGGAATTCTTCTTATCAGAAGAATTAGGGTTATAAAGAGATGATTGTTGTTGTTGGATAGCGTTGTTGAAATTGACATTGGAGTGTGGAAATGGATCAGTCAACGTTTGTGGAGATAAGTTAAATAATGGAACGGTATTGGTAGTGGTGGAAGTTCCATTGATAATTTCTTGGTATGTGGAAGGTTCAGAAAAATTATCAGGGAACTTTTCCATTTGCATCATCATTGAGATCATGTCCATACTATAGTGTGACAAAGAGAATTGGTTTTTGATTATGATGGTGTAGAAAAGGAAGGTGCAGAGAGTATGGGAGAGAATGGTGTGAAAGTAGGGTTTGGGATCAGAAAGATAAGGAAAGGAAGAATATATAAATAAAAAAAATAGTGAAGAAGAATCCTGAAATGAGTGCAGAAGATAGAATGATAGATGATGTATTATGATAACCGACCAACAACAATATCTATACCTGCAAACTCACTGTAAGTGGAAGGTCTTTTTATAGCAACTTGTCTTCAAATTTATTATAATATATATTGTGACTTTATTTTATTAAAATAATAGTCGCGATCGCATTATAGTCACGTAAATACTTTCATGATTTTAATTGATATAGATGTTGTGATATTGATCGTGATCGTCATAATATGAATTATTATAATTTATATTTTAATATAAAGATAGTAAATAACGATAATATTGATATTTGTCGATACTATTTATCGCACGTCACGAAAACGAATTTTTTTTAAAACCTTGCTTTTTATACTCATTTAATAGTGAAAGATATTAGTGTGAAGTAATTTGTTAAGTGAAAATATTACAATGTTTTATAATTTAATTAATTAATTAGTAAAAAAAATTATGTAAAAAAATTATTGATAATTTAATTAATTGATCGATAAAAAAAATATGGAAAATACAAACGAGTTTTCTAAAAATTCATTAAAAAATTTAAAAGGTAAGTTGAATATTTTTTAAAAGATTAATAAATGATAAAATTTTCTAAAATATATATTTATTTAATGCATTAAAAATATAAAATATTTAAAAGAATTTCAATGAATATAAAATATTTTCTTTATTAAATTCTTAATCAGTGTTTTGAGACATTGGTCCGACGACCCAAAATATATATACAACATAACAAGTCGATATGAAAAATAAGCATAAAATTAATAAAACTGACTAATTATATTTTGAATAAAATATAGTAAAGTAGCAAAATCTAGCTATAAACTGGATTCATATTAGATGTTCATATTAAATTAGAAATGTAAAGAAAATCTAAGAAGGTGGATCATAAATGATTGATATAAGAATAGTTTTAACTATTATTATTATTATCACCGATGGATGAAAACCGTCCCATGATATGTGGGGTTACCTCTAAGAAGGGTTATTGAACCAATCGACCATAGAATTTATAGGTAAATGAAATGTCAAAGGTTGAAGCATTAAAGATCAATGGTTGACAAAGAATAAGGGACCACATAACGGATGGGGTTGAATGCTGCTGGTGCATGAATGTGTTGTTTTCTTTTGACTGAAAACTCTTTGCTTTGTGATGAAAATTTTACTACTTTGTTTTATAGAAGTAGACCCCACAGTCACATGATAATTGTCAGAGTTAAAAAAATTGTTAGTACAAGCTTCTAGGTTGCATCCGTCACCAATGGAAAGTGCCCCAACAGGATGAGATGAGATAAGATATATAGTGCAGAAAAATTGACATTCAAAAATAAGTGTTGAAGAAAAAGTAAAGAAATAAAATTGTCCCTAAACCATCTCTTTCTCGGTAGATGGACAATGCGAGTTTTAATGATTTTTTTCAGAGAGACGGCTATAGAGGTTTTACCTATTTAGGATGCATATACAAAACAACATACAGGAAAAATATAGGTCAGTTAATAAAAACGGTTCATAGTTTTTTTTTTAAAGTAAGATTTCAATAAAAGAGTATTAGGGATACTCGAACTTGATTACAAAACGGAAACACCGAACTGGAAAAATTACGGAGAGAAAGTAGATTCCAATTGAAATTTAATTTATGAAATGTAAAGGATCTTTGCAAAAATTATAAAAATTACAATTAGAAAGACTAATATCACCTATAATAGATCATCTCCAAGCCAAGGCTTTAATATTTCAAACGAGATCCGAAAGATTAAACTTATCTCCTTTGAATACCATGTCATTTCTCAATAATTAAATATTTCAAATGACCGCGAACCAGACCGTTCTAACTTTCCGCGCACCAACTTTCTTCTTTTTGAAATGATCCACCAATCAACCAATCCATTATGAGTCATCTTAATAATCCAATGTGATTTTAAATATATATGGCTCAGACATGTTAACCAGATCGACTTTGCTGAAAGATATCATCATATTTAAGAATTTTTTTAACTCGCGACAATTATCTTCATGATAATAATAAAAGGGGATAATTTCTCTGCCTGTCACAAAAAGTTGAGTAGTGTACTTTTAACTAATCAATTAATGCCACATCATTTTATTAGATTTAATTATCTTAAATACAAGTGCATATAAAGGCTTTTACGATTTACTCGCAATGAATATTTGTTTTTCATTTTTTGAATTTCTAATTCTTGATTATGAAAAAGTACATTGATCTATTTCAAATTTATTATTATTTAAGGTAGCAAGAACAAAGTTGCGGATACTAATATTACTACCTGAACAACATCCTAACGCACTCAAATCTTGATGATTTGAGACATGGTTACTAAACAGTATATTTTTAATTAACTTTCTAATGTAGTACTGGTTATTTCTCCATTTTCTAACTTGCTCTTTATCTCTCTCCTCCCCCTTATTGTTTATTTTCTCAGTTAACAACTACAATTTACTAAACCAACGATTTTACTACCTTACTTCTCGGACTTACGATCTAAACTACACACTATCAACAGGTATCCTTAAAGAAACTCAAAGTTCAAGGTTATGGTACAAAATAAATAGTGAAATAAGTATAAAAAAACATTAATATAACTTTTTTTTAGAAAAACTGGTTAGATAATATATGTGTTAGATCAGTTCAAAATCTTATGATTTTTACCAATATAGAAATCAAGAACAGAATTTTAAAATAATTCCTCTAAGTCGATATAGCATCAATTTGTATCCCTTAAACTCATATCTGAATACAATTATGAGAATGAAGGCAGAAGCGTTCCTGAATTTGTCATTAAAATCGTTGAAGATTTCGAGTATGTGATCTTCCAATTTGTAGAGTTTCTCAGGGTTCCTTGAATCTCCTCTGATGGGGATGAGAGAGAAAAACTCATAAACCTTATTTTGTTCGTACTCTACAAATGGGGACCTTAACCCATTTAAATAACCCTAGAATTATTACTTAGTTTTCAATATTCTAATTTCCCCCCTCATCAAATTAGATATTAACTTACGGTATCTATACAATAACATGACCTTTCATGACATTTATGCTTTTAGCCACAAACTAAATATTATATTAATTTGACCCCTTTAAGTCTTGACTAATTAAATAATGACACTAACACCTTAAATGTTACATTTGTGACCCTAAATTTTGACAATCTCCCACTGGTCACATATGTAACTTTACACATGTGTTAGACTTTATGAGCTCAAAATTTGTCATTATATTTTTTAACCATATTCAAAGTATCACGTCCGTTAGTCATGCCAATATACATAATCAAGGTGATTTTCATTATATCAATCATAGCTAAACCCATCAATGATCACCGATAGTGACGCAACTAAATGAAATAGATCCATCATGAAATATGTAACATGAAAATCAGTGAAGTTGGTCTTTATATGTCGATTTTTAACCGGTCCTACTTTATTGTAATGAGATCATTCAATAACTTTATTGTACAAAATGTAAACTACTGAATGTCAAACTTTATTAATTGAAAAATATTCAAAATTATAGTATGCATACATAATACCAAACACAGAACATAAAATTCATAATCGACTGACTCCCACTAAACCAAAGACTCCTCTAACAATAAAACACTCATGCGAGCAATGTGCTCATGAAAGACCTTGGGTGGAAGACCTTTTGTAAGAAGATCTGCTATCATGGAGTTTGTCCTCAAATGTTCTACGGAAATATGTCCACTTTGTACCCTTTCCTTAACAACTAAGAACTTGATGTCAATATGTTTTGACTTAGTCGAACTCCTATTATTGATGGAATATAGGACAACTGATTTTATTGTTATAGTATAACTTAAGTGGCCTTTCAATTCCTTCATTCCTTAGTCAAATCCCATGGTCGGATGCCTCATAATATGCTATAAACTTTGGTGTCATGGTGGATGAAGTCGTAAGAGTTTGCTTAGCAATGCGCCAAGAAACTGCACCACCATCTAACATGTAAATATAATCTGAAGTGGATTTTTATTGTCTTGGCATCCAACAAATTCTGAGTCACAGTATCCAGTGGTATCTAACTGGTCTGACCTCCTATATGTGAGCATATAATTTTTTTTCTCTTTAAATACCTCATAACCTTTTTGGCTGCTTTCAAATGATCCATTCCTGGATTGCTCAAATATCTTCCTAACATCCCAACTATGAACGCAATATCCAGACGCGTGCACACTTGGGCATACATCAGACTCCCTACTGTTGATGCATAAGGAATCTTTTATATTTCTTGAATTTCTAAGTTTCCTTTTGGGCACTGACTAAGACTGAATTAGTCTCCCTTAGCAATTGGAGTATCTTCTGATTTACATTCCTACATGTCAAACCTTTTAAGTACCTTTTCGATATAGCTCATTTGTAATAATCCTAGAATACCATGAGAGCAGTCTCGATGTATTTGAATTCCTAATACAAAGAAGGCATCACCAAGATCTTTCATTTCAAAATTTCTTGATAGAAAATTCTTAGTTTTTTGCATCATTCCTATATCATTTGTGGCAAGAAGTATGTCATCTACATACAAGACCAAGAAAATGTACTTGCTCCCACTAAATTTGTGATATACACAATCTTCAACAACATTCACCTCAAAACCAAATGAGATATTTACTTCGTGAAACTTGTGATACCACTGACGAGACGTCTGCTTTAGTCCATAAATGGATTTTGTCAATTTGCAAACCATATTCTTTGAGTCTCTTGACACAAAGTTTTCTGGTTGCATCATATAGATTGTTTAATCAACATTGCCATTGAGGAAAGCTGTCTTGACATCCATTTGATGGAGTTCCAAA